AGACCTCCCACTAGAATTCGGACTGCACGAACACTGGCCCTCTGGGATGGTCCTCAGGTGGAACTCAAGGACAGGTCACGATACAGCTGGTCCTCTAGTGAAGTCACGGTGATGTCTAGGTCATAAGGACTAATGGTGTACAACTATACCATAGATATCTCTACTCGATTATTGGGAACCACTTAGAGATTTCTAGGGTGAGGGAGTTCAGTGAACTCTTCAACTTACGAGCACCCACTTATGCATGCCGATATCACAATACCGTTTACTGATGAGATGCAGTACACATACACTAAGTGCTAGTCTTAATGGGAAAGGCCGATATCCTCATTAGTGGCGTAACCCTTCGACTAGGAACACGTTTAACAGTTATAATACTTGAGTAAATATCTCACGATCCTAACGATCAATTACTAGTACTTGTAATAACTGTAAGGACTATATCTATGCTTGTTACAAAGGGACAAAGATATAGAATGCCAAGGTGTTTTATCATTAATACGAATAAAGGTTCGTTTATTACAATAATAAATACGAAAGACCACAGCCACATGTTGGCTTGTTGGTCACCTACTCTAACACAGCCCAATCATGGTCGGCATATCCTATTAGAGTGAGAGAACTAGATGCAGAAAGGAATAAACCTTTACCAACAGTACCTTTAAGATAACAAAGGATTCGATTGGCAGCATCAAGATGAGTAGAATGCAGATTTTGCATGAATTGACTAAGTGTATTTACCGAATATTGAATGTCAGGTCGTGTTACAGTGAGATATAGCAGACGCCCTATGAGACGTTGATAGATTGATGGATCGGGAAGAGGAGTCCCATCATGTGGACGTAAACGAAGATGTGGTTCCATTGGAAAATCAAACGGACGAGAACCAAGCATCCCGGAATCAGATAAGATGTCTAGAGTATACTTGCGTTGACATAAAAAAATGCCTTGTTTAGAACGAGATACTTCAATACCCAAAAAGTATCAAAGATTACCAAGATCTTTTATGGAAAAAGAATTGGCAATAAATTTTTTGATATCAAAAATAGCATCATCATTATTTCCTGTAATGATAATATCATCAACGTAGACGAGTATAAAAATGGATGTCTTATTACGAATATATGTAAAAAGACTGTAGTCTGAAATTGATTGACGAAAGCCTCGACTAATAAGAGTGGTTGAGAATTTGGAGAACCATTGACGAGATGCTTGTTTAAGACCATAGATTGATTTATTTAATTTACATACACGAGTCTCCCCTTTGTGAGAGAAGCCAGGGAGAAGTTTCATATAGACTTCTTCATTAAGATCTCCTTGAAGAAATGCATTGTTAACATCAAGTTGGTGGATGGACCAACTTTTAATGGAAACAGTTGAGAGTAGGAGACGTACAGTAACTAGTTTTGCCACAGGTGCGAAGGTATCATGATAATCAATTCCTTCAATTTGAGTGTAACCTTTGGCAACTAGACGAGCTTTATATCGATCAATTGAACCATCTGACCGATATTTAATTTTGAAGACCCATTTACAACCAATGGGTGATTTTCCAGGTGGAATTTGACATAAGCACCAAGTGTTATTTGATTCTAGAGCTCGAATTTCCTTGGCCATTGCATCACGCCATTCAATTGATTTTATGGCTTGAGAATATGATCGTGGCTCTTGATTTTTAATGAAATTTGTGAGAAAGGTTCGATGGGAATTACTTAAATTACGGAAAGAAATGTAATTTGCTAGTGGAAAATCAGTGGATAGAGAAATATGATTACAAATATAATCATTGACACGCTTTGGTTGGTGACGGATGCATTGAGGGTAATTACGAACAATTGTTGTAGAAGGTGAATCAGAAGATGGTGTGCCATCGGAAATAGATGGAGAATTAGTTGAACCATCAGGTTGAGAAGGTGAGGATGGAGATTCGGAAATAGGGGAGAATTGATTGAATCACCAAGTTGAGATGGTAAGGAAGGAGATGGTAGCGAGTCATCCAAACTCGTAGTTTCATTATGAGGAAAAGAATCACCCGAAGGGGGGTCGATGAGTGGTGTAGGGTAGTCAAAAGTCCCATTATCATTGATCGGAGTAATTGAAATTGGATCTTGTAAAGATGAATTTGCAATATCATGATATGGAAAAATTGACTCATGAAATATTACATCGCGTGAAACGTAAATTTGACGAGTTTTGAGGTCGTATATACGATATCCCTTTTGTCCATAAGGATAACCAACAAAGATGCCAGTTTTTGCTCGTTCATCAAATTTATGTTGAATATTTATATTTTTAGCAAAACATAAACACCCAAAAACTGGAAGAGAGGAATAAGATGGAAGATGTCCAACTAAGACTTGATGAGGAGATTTATATTGAAGGACTGGAGTTGGAAGTTTGTTAATGAGAAATGCAGCGGTTAGAATACATTCACCCCAAAAATAAAGAGGCAAGTTTGCTTGAAATCGTAAAGCTCGAGCGACATCAAGGAGATGCCGATGTTTACGTTCTACATTGCCATTTTGTTGTGGGGTCGCAACACAACTACGTTGATGAATGATTCCATTATCATGAAACCATTGTTGAATTTGTTTGGAAATAAATTCAGAACCATTATCTGAACGTATGGTTTGAAGTTGAGGAAGAAAAATATCCCCATTTTCGGAATTGAAACGAGAGACTTTTGTGTTAAATTGATGACGAATTAGATTAAAAAAATGGGTTATCATGTCGAAATTTTCGGATTTGTGTTTCATTAGATAAATCCAAGTGCATCTTGAATAATCATCAACAATAGTTAAAAAGAATCGTGATCCATTTTGTGAGGGTATAAAACAATGAGAAGAACAAGATGTGCGTTGAGGAAATGAAAGACGTGCCTGTTTAGCACATGGACAAACATCACAAACAAAATTCTTATTTGGAATAATATTTTAAGAATTCTTAACAATAAAATCAAAATGAGGCCTAGATGGATGACCAAGGCGAGAATTCCATAGATCAAATTTATTACATTGGTTAATAGAAAAAGCAGAATTAGAAACCAAATTGCAATCTAGATAGAAAAGACCATTGTGAGGATTACCCCGACCAATCGTCTTCTTCGTTGATTGGTCCTGAAAGATACATCCAGATGAAGAAAAAATTATATCACAATTTGTGGATTTCGTAAATTGTGAAATGGATAACAAATTGAACTTAAAAGATGGAATGTAAAAAACATTCGTGAGAATGAAAGTACCAAAACATTTGACAGTGCCTATGTGAGTCACAGACGCGTGAGAGCCATCAAGCAATTGAACATATATGTTTTTACGAATAGGAAAATATGAAGAAAAAAATGAGAGAGATGTACATATATGATTAGAAGTACCGGAGTCAATAATCCAACAAAATGACGAAAATGTGTGATTTTTACCTGCTAAGTGCACTGAGGGTCCACTAGTTTCTTCTTTGGCAAGAAGTGTGAGAAGCTTGTTGTATTGTTCGTGCGTGAGTGAACTAGCCATAAGAGTGGAGTTGGATGGTGGTGGCACAGATTTCTTCACATGTTTGTTGGGAAAACCATGAAGTTGATAGCATGTAGCAAGAGTATGACCATGTTTGTTGCAATGGTTGCAAAATGGACGTTGACGTTTTCTCGACGGACGAAATGGAGGTTTAGATGCTTGAAGTGCAGCGGCATCAACAGTAGGAGTTGTGAGAATATTGATCTCTTGCTGCTTTTCTTCATGACGCACCAAATTATAGATACGTTGAATGGAAGGAAATGGTTCCATCAAGAGAATTTGGCTGCGAATAGCGGAAAAACGATCATGTAGTCCTTCAAGAAATTCCATGGATCGATCATGATTTTGTTGGTCAATAATGCTTTTAGCATTACCACAAATGCAAGGAGTGATATGTATAATGGAACCGAGTTCATCCCATAGAGATTTGAGTTGCGTAAAATACAATAAAACAGACATGCTTTCTTGTTTGAGGATAGAAATGGACTGTTTCAATTGATAAATTTTTGGAGCATTTGATTGAGAAAAACAATCCTTGAGATCAGTCCAAATTTGTGCTGCCGTTTCAGCATACAAGATACTTGGACGGATCTCAGGTGAAACAGAATTAAGGATCCAACTTCCTACCAAATCGTTACAACGTTCCCAATTAGAAATGTCAGATTTCTCTGTCGGAATTGGATGTGACCCATCAACGAAACCAAGCTTATTTTTGGCACGAAGTGCCATTCTGACTGCACGACTCCATGATCCGTAATTATCTCCTGTCAACAAAGATGTGACAAGGATAGTAGAAGGACTATTGGAATGATGGATTGTGTATAAATCGGTTATGATGGGTGTGGGTGATGATGAAGAAGACTTTGTAGGAAGAAAATCGTCGGTAGACATTTTGAAGAATGAGGAGAAAAAAAATTAAAGATTCACTGATACCATGTAGAGATGATGAAACACATAATGAAGAAGATGCATTGTGTCTTGTATTTCATCAATGAGTGCTTGTACATATATATATATACACACAAGAGAGAAACAATAAAAGGAAGAAACTAACTACACCTAATCAAATCCCTAATCAAATCACTAATTAAGACTTGATTGAATCTAATCAAATCACTAATCAAATCACCAATTAAGACTTGATTGAATCTAATCAAATCACCTAATTAAGGCTAAACTAAATCAAAAATGAATATTTATTATATTCCTCTAACACCATCGACGGGTTGCTCGCCACCATAGATGGGTGCCTTGAATTGTCGGGCCGCAAGGTTACTAATCGGCTTCCGAATTTGTGTGTCAATATCCGTCGTTTTGGTTGGAACCTTTGCTTTCTTGCATAAGCCGGTAACGAGGCAAGGGAAATAGAGCCCTTTGGAGTTGTTGGTCATGGAGATCCAAAAGCGGTCGGATATGATTTCTCCAATGTTGATCGGTGTTCCCTTTAAAATGTAATATGCAAGAGCACACCTTTCATGGTTCATTTGAGTCCACGATCGAGTGGGGATGAGATTAGCGCATATGAAAGTAAGCCACGCCTTGCCTATTTGGTGGATGCATTTCCACTCCAACTCGTATTCCACATCGTTGGAGAATTCGGACCAAAAAGGGGGCCCATCGCACAATACCTCGCCGAGTTGATCTTTTGTTACCTCGAGTTGCATTTGTTCCCAATTGAATGCCTCATGTCGGGTGTTGTAGAAGGAGTTGATAGCTTTGGCACTCCAATCTACTCTCTTTCCTCGAACCGTGCTCGTCTTCCTATCCGAAGTTTGGAGATTACGGGTGTTGGCATAGAACTCGCGGACTAAGGACAAATTGATCGAATCCGCCGGTTCTAGCAATGAATCCACCCTCGTCGCATGAATTCTTGATTCAACGGTTCAAATTGCGGTTGGGTGACTGTATATGCACGCTCCGTTACGAGTTTCTTCACCGTTTGCTTGTCAAAAAGGGCCTTGGAGCCTTCAACACAAAAGGCATCGTCATCGGGAGTTAGAACTTGGTCCGCTTTCTTTCCCTTCCCCTTGCCCTTCGAGGTGCCTTCTCCGTCACGTCCTCTTTTTCCCATGATGTCGAAAATGCCTTGTGGAAGGGATTTGAGATGAATTGGTGTGTAAAATTTCTCCCAAACTTGACTCGGGCAAATCGTCGAACACCTTGTGGGCGTTCCTTGTTGAATGAGTGTTTTGAGAAATTGGCACCTTTCTTGAACCCTCCCAGCAAAAATCAACAAAAACCCAAAGTGTTTAAGTTTTATGTGTATGTATTTTGTGAATTTTAGGCGAAATTTTGCAAGAAAAAGTGAAAATTTTGAAAAGGTAATTTTTAAATTGTATAGTTTAAAAAAATGACCACTTAAATTTAGATCTATAATTCATATTTACGAAATAAAATATAATAAAATCATGATAAACACTAAACTAATAGTTTTGGGACATATATGGTAAAATGCCATGCGAGACCAAACCAAATCTCATTTCTTATAAGTGGTCAAATGATGAAATATTATTATTTTATTATTCGGTCTAAATTTTGGTGAAATGTATGGGGGGCCAAAAACACTATTTTTCCACCAAAAATGGTAGAAGGATAAAATGGCGTGCTACCGATGGGAGATGAACCCATTTTTTCACCACAAAAAATGGGGATTTAGTGAGAAATGGTGAAACCGATGGAAGATGCTCTTAGTAATTTGTAATGAGTTATATGTTTATATTTGGAAATGTAACTTTAAAGAGCTCAATGCTGATCATGTTTGGGTTTATAATTTTTTTTTTAATTATTTTGTGCTATTTCGTGTAAATTATCTAAAGACAAAAATGGGGTGCTGCCCTTGAACCTTGTAAAATTTATAGTCAACGTCTAAACTTATTTTAAATAATTGATAAACTCTTACGTCCACTAAACCATTTTAGGAGTTGCTAAGATGCTATGTCTTATTTTAAGAATTTGTTTTTAAAGTGTTTGAATATTGTGTTTATAAGCTATTTTAACTCATTATAAGATATTAAATAAAAAGGGGGTAGAGGTACTTCAAAAAAATCTTAAAAGATCTCGAGCAGCTTATTTTTTGAATTTTTAAAATCATTAAAACGAAATTACCGAAGACTTCGGAAGAAATTATAAGGTCTTTAGCGTCATATAAAATTCTTTTTAACAACTTATAAGATTAGTGTTAAGTGTATAATTTTGCAGTTAATCGTACCTTTTAATTGGAGCTCTTAGTGTGTTTTAATGATAATTGGTGCTTAAAATATTGATTATTTGTATTTTAGGTACAAATTGAAGAATTGGAAACTTATGGGGTAAAAACTGCAATTTTGGAGAAAAAGTGGGCCAAAAGTTAAAAAATCAAAACTTCGAAGATTTGAAGCCCGGACGGCCGTCCGAGTTTCAGCACTAAATCTGGCATGGCCGTCCGAGATCACGAGGAGGCGCAGTGAAGGAAGTTTAATTACACAAGGAAATCACCTTCCTATCTTTTTAAACCCTATATAAGGCCAAGCCAAGCACACAATTGTGGATCTCATCTTTTGACACGTACTCTAGGAGCAAGAAAGCGGAGCAACGAAGACAAAGACTTGACGAATCTTCATCATTGTTCTCCCTTTACTTTTATTTATCTACTTTTATCAATTTTCGTATTTTTATTATGCTTTTCGTAGAGAACATGAGTAGCTAAGTTTTTAATCTAGGATTTTATTTGCACCCTATGTGGTGATTCAACCCTATTTTCTAATATTATGCAAGTTTAAATTCCGTGATTATTTCTTCTATTTTGATCTTATTTAGCACATGAACCTAGCTAATTTATGTTGCTATGTGTTTTTGTTAGAATCGATTGACAGATTGTTTTAATAATTAGAACACGGATCGAAGAGCCTTCGAGTAGTTTTCACCGGATGAGTGTGTTAATTGCATGGATTATCGTATACATATAGATAATACCTTAGGCAGCCGTTTACGAGACTTGTTAGTTAATTCTTTATTCATAATTGGTTTGCATACACATATAGTGAATCGTTTATGAATAGCAGACTCATAATACACGCGACAGCGGGTTATGAGTAATTGGGTGTCTCGGGTTAATAATCAGGAATCGTAACTTGCATGATAGAGGTTTAATTGGGTATTTTATTATCGCATAGGGGAAGATAAAATCCTAGATCCGTTTTTATATTGATATTCTCTCTTGTTTATTTGCTTTCATAATTAGATTAACTATTTAGTTGATTGAATTTGACAACCTTGCGTAGGCTGGATAAAAATCATAATTGTTAGAATTTGGTACTTAGGATTAGATAATTTGAGTATTCCCTGTGGGATCGACATCCGACTCTCACGAGTCCACTTTTACTACTTATTTGCGATACGTGCACTTGCGTGTTAGGTATTTAGCCCCAACAAGTTTTTGGCGCCGTTGCCGGGGAATACGGCTAAATTATCTATTTATCCTAATATTAAATTTGAGCATTTTTTCTTACTTCAGCCGTTTTATTTATTTGATTTGCTTATTTTATTTTTATTATTTTTGGTTTAGGTACTTTGTATGCGAAGAGGACACGACAGGAACTTGCTACCTCCTGATCCCGAAATTGAGCGAACGTTAAGACACGCCAGCAGAAATCAACGGTTAGCCCAAAACGTTCCCGCAACAATGGAAGAAGAGATTAATCGTAGGGGAGATGACCAAGGGCGCCTACCGAATGGGGCAGGAAATATAGTCAACGAGCAAGAGCAACTTCAGCTAATTAATCCACCACCTCGTCAACGAGCATTGGATGAGTACACTGTTCCAACACTCAATGGGTTTCAATCAAGCATCCAGCAGCCCCCCATTGAAGTCAACAATTTCGAAATTCGAGCGGGACTCCTTACTACGCTCCAAAACAATGGGTTGTTCAGCGGATTAGCTCATGAAGATCCGCATCTCCACTTGGTCAATTTTCTCAAAACGTGTGGTTCGAAATAAGATGAACGGCGTATCTCCTGAAGCACTGCAACTCCGCCTGTTCAAGCACTCATTACAAGGAGCAGCTCGAGAGTGGTTACAAACTCGTGCACCGCACTCCATCTCGTCTTGGCCCCAGCTAGCACAACTCTTCATGAACACATAAAATTCCTCAACAAGAATTGGAAGAATCCAGAGAGAAATACAGAATTTCATACAAGAAGCCGGTGAAGCGCTATTCGAGACGTGGGAGCGATTCAAACAATTAATTCGGAGATGCCCGAATCACGGACATCAAGAGTGGCGGCAACTTCAAATATTTTATGATGGATTGCAAGATAATTCGAGAACGGTGCTCGATTCAGCAGCTGGCGGTATGTTCATGAGCTTGACCTATGACGAAGCTTACGAACTTTTGGATCGAACCGCAAGGAACAAATACATGCGGGCATCGGACCGGTCAAATTGCGGAACCAAGAAGAAGGGAGGAATTTTGGAGTTAGACGGGGTCACCGCATTCACTGCCCAGTTAGAGAAGCTATCAAACCAAGTAGCGGCTTTGCAGACTCAGCAAGTCTATGCAGTCCAAGGTCCCGACCAGTGCGTAGAAGAAACATAGTCTCTAAATTATGTGAATGACACCAACCGACAACAGAGGAACCCGTACTCCAACACTTATAATCCGGGTGTGGAAAGATCACCCTAACTTTGGATGGGGAGGAAATCAGCAAGGACAAAGGCAAGCACCACCTCAAGGTCAACCTCCTAGTTATTCACGGCCAGCTCCCGAATTCCAAAATCCGCCTCAAGCTCCACCTCAAGGTGGAGATCTTGCAAATATCTTGGCTCAATTTATGACATTCACTCAAGCCTCCATCCGAAATTTGGAAACACAGATGGGTCAACTTGCAACCCAGCTAAACGCGAGGCCATCGGA